AACCATCCCTCCGTTAGGTTCAGCTGTTGTGTTGCTTATACATGCCTGCTACCGATGGATGGTGTCACCGACTCGCTTAGTTACAAATACAACATTACCAAACAAAGTAATATGGGATCGTTAGCTATGTACATAATAGAAAATTTTTATTTCAGATCGCAGGTATTTGCAAATTATTAGAAATTCTAATTTGAGATGGGGCGCCTCAATTGTTTTCTGGTTCAAAAGTGCACGTAAGTCGTTTTTTTTGCAATTTTAAGAGTTATTGAACGTTGTAGCATCATGCTATTGTCGTTGATATAAGAAATAATACTAATGATTACTGTATTTATTGTTTCAGCAACTTATATACCATTTGTACAGTAATGTCATGGTCAGCTGTCGGCAATAAGCACGCAAGCGCATGAGCACATTTATCACGTTATCAAGAGAAACATGTGCTCGGAACAGACAAACGGGATTGGATATAGTATTTTGAGAAAGTTAGACTCATTCAGTTATTTTTTAAAACTGGCAATTTTCAGTTATAAACTATATCACGAGATTGTGACTTCATTGAAAATGCGTTTCAACGCGAATCCGGATTTAATTAAGAAGTCATTTTATCGCAAAGAACTCATGAAATTAATCGAAAAACGACAAATTCAATCATCAAAATTTGTAAGTTCAACATTTTCTTTCAATATATGCAACGAATTCCTTATAGCAACGTTGTGCGTCATTCGCAGAAAAAGGAGAAAATGCGAAAAGGATAAATTGATTCATTTATTTTTTTTTTCTGATTTTTATTATTAATATATTCATTTCGCATTAATATTGTAATAAATGAAATGTTCATACATATTCAATTATTATGGATGTTATTACATTCTATTTGTGTGAAAATTGCTCGATAACGTATGATATTACATAATATTGGACAGAGTTTATTGAGAACAATCTAAAATTTATTGATATATTCTAAAGTTTATTGAGACAAATCTAAAACTTATTGATAAACTTTAAAGTTTATTGAGACAAATCTAAAACTTATTGATAAACTTTAAAGTCTCACAATATTCATTGAAACTTAATGATAAATTCTAAAATCTTATGAGATTTCCTAAAGTTTATTGAGACAAATCTAAAATATTATAGAGACACGTTAGCCTCTCAACGAACCTCATAAGATTTTAGAATTGTCTCAAAATATTTTTTTTCATTTGCCTGAGTCATCTTTGATCATTTTCAAAAGGATATTCAAGCAGGAAGCCATTCAAAATCGAAGCAAAGAACAACTTCATCGACTCTATTTTTGTTGTGTTTGTTTGTTTTTTTTCTTAAATTTTCTTGTTTGCAAAACAGATATAATAGAAGCGAAAAAAAGCGGGATAAATGAATATTTATGACGATCCTTTGCAATTTTTGCTTGTTTTCGACCATCAAATAATATCAAAAATGCATGAATCTCATCAATATTTGGATGCGAACAATGGTTCTGATTACTAAAATTCAGCGCGAGCAGTCTGGAAATTGAATTGATTTTTCAGGGATTTAAATACGCAAAAAAATAAATCAACTAGAAATTGAAATCGATTATTCTCAAAACTATAAGAATTGTTTATACATAGAATCGAGATTCGAATAAATAAATGTGTAACATTATTCAATGTGGAAAATCTCAGAAATTCTAATAATTGGTATATATGGCGTTAGAGAAATTCTCGTTTTAGTTGGACACCCAACGAACCCCTTTTTTTGATTGTTTGACAGCCAACAAACAATAAATCAGTATGGGGAAGAATGGAAAACAATAGCAATTAGATGAGCACGGAAAGCTGACGTTTTAATCGAAAATGAGCCGGTCAGAGAGCACCAATTAGAGGCCAACAGTGATTTGGTTAATGGTCCCTCCATTCATTTGATTTCTCGCCAAGCAGACGTCGGGCTCAAATTATTCTAGTAGCGCCAAATAAGGAAAATTTCGATACGTGAATGAATTGACATGCAGAAATGAGGAAATTGGACGAGACGTATGCATGATCATATATTTAATTTCGCGTTCGACGACTGTCATCATAAATTTGAATTGTGACACGGTGTAATATATTGCGAGAATTTTCCGGATTCGATTTTGAAGATTATTTTTTTACATTATGATATTAACAAAAAAAGGTCTAGTTGGGTCTGATGAAAAATATTGACTCATGTGCCTTTAACAATATTACCGTTTAAATACAAATACGTTGCTCGAAAAGTAAGCTCGGATCAATAAACCAGAATGTATCTTAAAAAATGGTCTTCTCATTCACAATTTTAAATTCATGGCTTCTTTGGTGTATCCATAGATATTCGAATACACCATAACACGATTAAAGGCGGTATTCCTGTATATCTGATAACATTCGGATCGATTGCAGACTACTACTTGCTAAATCAAGAAATTTCTTCTGAAATTTGAGTTTTCGAAGAAATATATCCAAAAATAAGCACAAAACAAAGACCTAATCTTTTTAGTCTTTCAAACACGTTTTGAAAAAAGCATAAAAATGCGAAACAAAACAAAGGCGACGACGAGCGCAAAATTGATTTTGTGGACCAAGATGTCTTTAAGCGGATTTTAAACGACTTGAGAATTGGTAGGAAAAACGGGGTTTTTATTTAATTGATATTAATTACAAACAGCATTAATTTAAATAAATACTTCCAATGGACTTGAATTCCGAAAATATGAAACAATCATATTAGTGTTTGAATTATATGAACAACTCCAATACGAAGTACTAAAAAAAATTGCCGCGAGTTGATGTAATTAATATTGAACATTTGTTCGTTTTCTTTTTCGTTTCGAATTTCCGGTTGATCTTTGAAATTTCTTCGAATAAATCATGGCGTCAAAACCAAGAAAATGTCATTTTTTGGAATTTTCGAAGTATGTGGCTTTGATTAATGGTAATGCGCTCGAATAAATCTAATTTTCGTTATTCCGGTAAAAGTTACAATATGGTTCTACAAAATATAGAACTGATCTCAATTTTCTAGTGTTTTTGAATTCAGAATTATCATTAAAACATCTTGACTTCTTCATGGTTGCGTTATGCTGGCCGTGATATTCGCGGCCGCAAAAAAATAGTCCCCGGAGTTACTAATGTTTTAAATTGCTGCGCCCATAAAATCAATCAATGATTTGAAGAGCTTGACTCAAAAAAAGAACTAAGTAATTAAATCTAGAAATTGGGAAAAATGAGCATTCTGTTGCTGACAAATGCATCAATTTTCATATTGGTAACATCATTTAATGTTTTTATTCCAGGTTTAAAAAAAAACTTCAAAGAAACGATTTAGAGTTTCTCTTTCTAGAAAATTAAAATTTCTGATCTCTTGTTTTCAGCAAGCATTCCACAGTTCAATTAGAAACCAACATTTTTGTGTTGTCGATGTCTATTTGTTATTTCTCAATTTCCGTTGGCTGCTCAAAACAATTGCGAATCGAGGTACAGTAGGAAATGTGTTCAGAGAAATCTCGAAATTGGAATGACAACTGCCGAAATGATTCGCATCACATGATGTCAGATTTTCTTTGGGCGTCAAGAGCAAGAAACACCCATTTTTTTGGGGGGGGGGGTTCTCGAAGTTATAATTGAATAGAATGCCTAGTTTGGCGATTTATTATATTTTCTTGCTCACACACCTACAACACAACAAAAATGTTTCGACGTGTTCGATAATTGGCCGAAATATGGTGAATAGAGAAAAGCAATGAACATTACGAACACAATTACCTCGAAATTAGTCATTCAAAAAAAGAATAAAAAAAATAAACGCATGGAAAACAAGCCAAACAATGATATTTTTCTTTGCAGGAAAACATAGAAAATTTTCCGACGGAACAAAACAAGTTTTTTCAGATCAAAATGACGACGATTTTAAGGAGGAAACCCTTGGTTGAAATTTGAAACAAAAATTTCCGGTGCTTATTTAATAATAGCATCAAAACGTTCTTGTCATCGACAGCTCATCGGTTTTTTTGCTGCTTAACAAATGTAGTCGTCAAACGGCGATGTTCAGAGTTTACTTGGATTAGGTAGAGACTCTGATTAATTCATTCACTTTTCGAGGAATCGGAGAGCGAAAAGTTTTGCAAAAAAAAGAATTCGAAAATAATAAGCTCAGAAGACGTATTCCATTCAGAATCGTTTAGTCGTTGATCGTCGAGTCAGTTAACAACTGGATTCCGATTCCAGAAATAAGCACTACAAATATAAATATGTGTTCATTATGTATGTAAACAAATATCAAATCTATTTTAGCCGAATTAATAATGTTGCTTTAAAAGACATATTCTCGTAAATTAATAATCCAAGTTTGGCACCTAATAATTAATGGACAATCGTCCTAATTTTTAATGGAAAAATGTCCAGAATCTCACGTCATTTAAGTGGTATTAATTGTCAAAAATCGCCATCATTAATGTAAGAATAATTGTGAATAGGGGTAATTTTTAAGATGATCGATTTCAATTCGTGACCTGGAAATTAGCTATGCTGATAAAATATTAAATGTGGAATAAGTTTCGACAAAACATTACTTCCTCATGAGAAACATTGAACACATAAAAAACAGAAAATCTTTTTGAGGATTTTTGTTTTTTTTTAATTCTTTATGGCTTTTGCAGAAATGCATAGAATTATGTTTTTTGCAACTAAAAATTTTAATAATTCAGTCTTTGGTTATAAATTTTACTAGAATTCGTATAGTGAATTTTATTGCTAACATGCGTTTTTTTTACGATTTAAATTTCCACAAAACCAAAATAGTTTTTCTTTAATTTAAGTGTACAATGAAACAATTAAGAGCTGCATAGAACAATCGGATATGAGAAAAACAAGGGCTTCGAATGATGTTTTTTCTTTCTCATTTGTCTTTAAAGTGTTCTATAGAAACCCGATATGATGATGGATTATTTCGAAAAAGAACAACTACATTTATTTGATTTATCTAGAAACAATTCTTGCAGCCACTTATTGGTCAAGTCCTTCGTAGACGCGAATGATTTTGACGAAACTGAATGGCTCGAATTGGATTCCGGTTCCACCATAGAATTTCGATTGGAATTCGACCCTTGAATGTCGGTTAAAAAAAATTAAATTTGATATTATATAAATGGGATACCAGTGAAGACGAATAGCGTGAAGGAAGGCGGAAAGACCCTCCATGAGAATAAGGATGCACACCGAAAGGATTGAGAAGATAAGGTAGAAGATGAGGGTGACTCCAGCTGAACCTCCCCAGCCGCCTATTTTGAGGGCAATGTCGAGGACCATTGTCCATAATACGTCGGAAAGTTCTGGAAATAAAATAAAACTAGAAAAAAACGTGAATCACAATTATTACGGGCGTGAGCAAGCGAAAGAGCCCAAAGACGAAGGTACGAAGCAGTGTGCGAGACACATCCGAGCACGAATTCAATTGTGTGAATCGCTTGATGCACCATGACGTCGCCGAAAACAAATTCGCCGTGCTCTTCGCTTCCGTGTCCAAGATCGACGTGAAGTCCGCGTGAATGACGCCAACGATAGTAGAATGGCTTGACGAGAAGCATGATTGGAACTGAGATGACCGCGATGAGCAACAGAATAATCTCAACGAGACTCTGGCTTGGGTACCATTGTTGAAGATAGCATTGATCGATGACATTGTACGTCACATTCTTGCCGTTCACTATCACTGATCCGGTTCCGTTGTAGAGATCAGTCACGAATCCTTGATCTCTCGATTTGACCATGAACATGTTGATGAGACCGATGAGAAGTGACGGAGCGCAATTGGAGCCGGGATAGAGTTGGCCGAAGATGAACGCGGGTTTGACCCAGAAGAAGAGCCATTTGATGACGACCTGAACGCAGAGGTAGACGAAAATGCAGCCGAGGAACAAGCATTGAGGGATGAAGACGAAGACGATGTCGACGACGGAACGATTGCCACTGAAAATGAAAGAAAAAAACCGGGAAACAATTGAATTGGGACAATCAAAAAATTACAGATGATTCATGAGAGAAAGAAGAATTCCGAACGCCATTTGAGAGATTCCGAGGATGATCGATGTCTTCATTTTCATGGGATTCAAGAAGTTGAGGCGATTCTTGGCCAAATTCCAGACGGGGTCCAAACCGAATGGATACGGTCCGTAATCGTGAAGGAATGCGATTTCTGGCGGGAATGTAAGATCGAGTTCGACACCCGACTTGGCTCCTTGCTCATCCATTCCATTGAGCAGATTCTGTCTGGAATCATAGAAGTCAAATGAGGAATTGAAATGAAAATGACAGACGAGTATGGGTTAACCCAACTTGATCCGAATATGTTGACGGATTTCGAGTAGAAGTCGTTGTAGATAAATCCAGTGTAGATCGCGAACGCTCCCATCAGCAAAATGACATAACGACCGCCGAAAAATGTGTTGAAAATCTAAAAAATTCAAAAAATTTCAAAATATTAAAACATTTATCATATCATACCTCATCTTTGATTTTCATCGAAATGAGCTTGTTCTCAAATAGAACGAGTCCAGCGGCAGCGAGAAGCATGATGATTCCGTGTCCAGCATCTCCGAACATGACAGCGAACAAGAATGGGAAAGAGATGATCGTCCATGGGGCTGGATTGACCTCGCGGTAGTTTGCAATACCGTAGGCGTCGACAATGTTCTGGAATCCTTGCGTGAATTTGTTCAGCTTGAAATAGGTTGGCGGATATTTGTCGGTTTCCATCTCGTTCAGAATTGCGTCAACCGTTGACCCGCTATGGACGGTCCCCTGATGAAGGCACTGCTTGACAATGCCGATGTCGGCTTCAGGAATCCAGCATTCGGCGATCAAACATTTTTGGGTGACGTCGACCGAGAACATATTCAAAGTGTGGAAGATGCTCTTCAACTTCAACACCATGATTCCCCATTTGCGAAGGTTCTGCGACGAGGTGCTCACAATCTTCGAGCGATAATCAATTGTCTTCTGAATGACGCTGTGCATATCGGTGGTCTGAGCACGAATCTGCGCGAGAAGCTTCGACCTCTCGTGCGGATCTTCGGGACAGTTGTAGGGCTTCGCGTGAAATCCGTCGCAGATTCTCTTGACGCGAGCGCGCAATTGCTCTCCGGAGAAGAACAAGATGAACACCGATTTGTCTTCGATGGTGTTCGAGAAGGCGTCGGTTTGTTCGGTGATCGCGACAAATTTCGAGAAGACCTTTGCTCGACACATTCGCCACAAAAATCGCTCAAAAGCGATGATCTTGTTGTTCTTGATAACTCCGGTGACGAATCTGAACGAATCAAAGATAGAAGAATATCAAGTAGACGGCTCACTTGAGCTCATTCTCATCGCGTCGCTCTTTCTCGAAATCGTTTTTGAGGCCGACGGTAAATGGTCCGGCTTCACCTCGAGCAGCTTCGGAAATCGACATGGCAGCTTCGCGGCGAGTATTCTGAAAACAAAAAAACGTTCGAAATTGCGAATCCGTTTGAGTTCAGCCGAATGCGAATCGATAGAAAACGGACCGAGTCCAAAAGAGATGTGACATGCTGAAGAACGGCTTTCATCTCGAGAAGCTCAATGTGGTTTTTCTTCAACGCCTTCGCGTTTTTGTTGATTTGAAGGAATTCCTCTTCAAGACGCTCGAAATTCGCTTCCATTTCAACCATGTGCTTCGGTTGTGGAGCCGGAATATGCTCGTTATAATCGGGAATCGGGACACCATCAGCTTCGATCTCTTCCTCAAGGAATCCTGGAATACATTTACGATTATTCATCGTCGAAAAATGTAAAATAAATATTTAAATCAATTATTGAAAAAATAAAAATGAATCGCTTGAACAAACTCGGAACTCACTCAATTTTCTCTCCATTTCCTCGCATCGCTTCATTTCGTTGACAAATTTCCTCTGATACGAATTCATTTCTTCATTCAGCTAAAATCGAATTTATTGGCATTTTTCCCAATTGTTTTTTTTTGTCAGAAAATGATTACATCGATGAACTGGGCGAGACCCAATTCTCCCAATTCGGCGACACATTGATAGGCGGATTCAGATTGGAAGAAAATTTGGCACAATTTCATGTGCTCCGATCTATAGATGGAGCCCATTTCTGGTTCAAGTCAGCAGGTTTTCTTGCCCTGCAAATTATCTTCCATTAGAAAAGTCTGCATAATTTACTGAAATTCGAAAATTGATTTTTTCTTTTGTTTTTGGAATTGAGTTGGAAATCAATTGGGGTCGCCTAGAAAATTACACACACAATGCATATAAAATAGTATTTTTGCTAAGTTTCTGAGGAATGGCTGTATTTCGATGAAAGAAATATGCAGAAATAAGAAAATATGCTTGTCAAGATGGTTTTTGCCAAAAGACCATTGCCCACGACCGAAAACCATCCAGAGGCAAAAATTCAATTGTTGGCTCTTATCAGACGACGACGCTTTTATGCAATCAATTTATCAGCACCAAATGTCGATATGGATTGTTATGTAACAAGAACAAGAGTTGGAATGAATTTTGTTCAGATGTGACACTTTATTACAATTCTTGATGTGATACACCCTGAAACTCATTATCCCATCATTCGAGGTTTTTTCAGACTTCACTCTATTCCAATTTTCGTTGAAGCTTTTCGCCTGCCGTCAAGTCTTGCGCATTGTCCGCAAACACGCAGACGCTATGTGACAACCGCCTGGCAGCACGTGCATTCAAATTTCGATTTTTGAAGTTCTTCGCGACGAGAGCGTTTTCGTGTGTTGGATTTTTAATGAAAAATTGCATCCTCGTGACGAATGCGACACTTGTAAACATAAATCGTAGATACGTTGGAACTTCAAAATTAGTTTGACCTCCGTTTTCCTCGCTAGTTCTTTTGTTGATTGATTGGCGGGAAAAATATTGGCCGACAATTTTCTTTCATTTTTCTTTGTTTTTTACTGGAATAGCTTCGTGTTACAATTTCCGCATTATTGATTATAGAAAATTCAATTCACCTATTCAGATAGAATGTCAAACTACAACAATTGCAACATACCTCACAATCAAGGTATGTACCAACTGAGAATTATTGTTTCTTAAAATTGTTCGAATTTTTAGAATATTTCAATAATTACCAACATATTATGGATCCAAACGCAGGTGGATCTTACGCCTTTATGGATCAAAGGCAAATGCTTCGCGAACAGCAGCAACAGCAGCAGTATCCATGCTATCCAACGAATACAAACACAATGCGTAAGTTATTTTTGGAAAATTTGTTTTTTCGATTTATTTTAATTAATTTTCATTTTAGATCGGCCTTACGCATTCAACGTGAACGCCAGCGAATTTGTGCCAAGCCGTAATCATCAACATGTAAGAAATATATTAAACGAGTAACAATTCGAAAAAGAATTATATCTAATCCCAAGAGAGGAGACAAATGAAATCACGCAAAGTTATATAATCAAATTCTGTAAATTGATATTATCTAATTGTTTCTGCAGTTTGGTGAGATTTTCAAAAAAAAAAAACCTCCAACTTATTTTTTAAATTAAAATTTCAAAGAATATGTATTCATAAGAATTATCTGCGATTTCTTGTGGATTGAGAAAAGCAAATAAAAACGGAATTTGATATTAAATGAATCAGAAAAATTCTTGAAAATTAAATTTTGAAATCATCAACCATTTGTTTTAAATAAAATATTCTCTCAATACAACCAAACCCATTAATTTCTTTAAAAACATTTTTGTTTAAGAAAAAATGTGTTTTTTTACACTTTCATGTAGGTGAATATTTTAAACTAAAAATATTGAATTAAACATAGAATTACCTTTCAGATGAACGCGTTGCCAGCTCAATTCATGTATGAGAGTTATGTGCCACCGCATCCTCAGCAATACCATCATTTACAGCAATACTACCAGGTACGCGTTTTTGTATGGTTTGCTCTTTTTGCCCTCAGCAATTTTGTCGATCAATGTGTGTCGTTGTCATCGTCGTCGTCGTCGTTGTATTACGATCGGGCCGCTCTCGCTCGCGCCCTCATGTTTCCCGTTTGTCGGTCGCCGTTCGAGAATCTTTGAATGTTTGCCCGCCTCGCTTCTCTTGGTCTCTTGTTTCGCATGCCTTTCCGATGCGGTTATTCGTGTTTTCGGTTTGGCGAGCATCATTTTTCATTGAATTATTACGGACTCCAAAACGCAATAATTATTTGATGTTTGGTCTGGTTTCTTTTCAAGATGTTTTGCTGAGAAATTTTCGACGCGGTTATTATAAATAGGCCGTAAATCGTAAAATTTTAATCTCTTTTTCTCCGAAAAAATTCAAAAACGGATAGAAATTTTTTATACGAACAAAAATTTTTTCATATTTCGAAGTTTTCTAAAGCAAAGTATACTATTTCGATTTATTAAATGTAGGCTAATCTTCCGTTCCGGTTTAACATGTGTCTCATCACAACATCTCGAATAGTTTGGAATAATATTCGTCAAATAATACACTATATTGCCATTGTTTAAACTAACTAATTTCCTATTTAAAATTAATCAACGGCCAACGCAGAAAAAATGCATGAAAGAAAACAGTGGAGAATATTTCAATGCAGAAAAAATGAAAGAAAAAAGAATTTTTTTTCACTGAGATTTTCTGATAGCCAAAACTTTTTTATCTATAAAATTGCGAAACTCGATGTTTACGGCGAGCAATATCATTTGTTGGTGATGATTAAATTGATTGAATTTTTTGTGTCGATATGATGGAAAGCTTTCATTTTCTCTCACCAGTGCGTTCGGGCTTCGCGTGTGGAATCCCCGTTTCGCATTCTGCGTTTCGCCGAGATTCGTCCATTTCATTGTGTGTGTGTGTTTTTTGTGTGTATACGGCCTCCGATCATTGTTAGTAGGTAGTGCCGGCTGGTGGCGCGGTGACTTTGTTCGAAATGGCTTTGGTATTGTTTATTTAATTGATAACATTCCAATTGAGCTCTTAAGAATGCTTGAAGATTTTCAAACGTCATTTTACAGCAATTCCCAGCGCACCATCACGCTCCGCAACCGTATCATCCGCAACAAATAATGTATCAGGATGAGCAGGTAAGAATTTGACGAATATTAAATTATTCGCAATAAATTCAGAGTGGAATTGAAGCATTGGCGCAATATGGACAACAATCTGAATATTATAGTCCATCGATGGAGATGCAAGAAAGGATTGCTAGATGTCCGAATCCAGCGATCATTCATGAGGTATCACTTTTTCTTTTTCTCTTCTACAGATTTTCCTCGAATATCTTAAATTCTGATGTTTGTGATGATTAAATCTTTAAATTCAAACTATCTCCCATATTTTATTTTTTTATGTTTGACCCAGATCAATATCGAAATTAGCGACTTTTTCGAATGAAACTATTATCGGAATTTATTAGGTCATGTGTCTCGTCCTGATAACTATTTTTGTTTTTATTTTTCATTGACAATTTATTGCAAAATATTTGATAGGGTTGTCGCGAGAACGGAGTTTGTTGAAAGAAACACTTGGTATTTTCGGAATAGCTGTGCAAATAGTTCGAAAATATGTCAAAAGAGTTACTATTCAGTTTCGGCTTTCTTTTTTTTGTTTCAAACTTTTCGGAAAAGCACACAGCGAAAACATTGACTAGAGAAGAAATATGACAAGAAATTTGATATTTGACATGGAGAGTTTCGATGAAACGTTTGCTGATTGATCGAAAAATGTCAAAATAATAGGTCATAACCGTGAATCGTACTTACTAAATATATCGCTTTGTTTGTTTTTCAGATCCTGGTCGGATGCGAACAGCTGCTTCTGGAAGGCGAAGACGATTCGAACACGTGGACCACGGCGATCCGGCAACGATTTGACGATTCCAAAATGGATATTGAATCAAAGAAAGTGGCGACCGGTCTGATCATTGAAATTGTATGTAGAGCGCACTATATGTAGTTTTTCATTCAATTTTCATTTTTTTTGCAGGCTTATTCAACATCGACCAACCAAACTGTTGATCCGCAGTACACTTTTGCGACGCTTCTCCAGACGCTTTCCAAAGATGTACATTTTTTGGCAAACATGTATTAATAATGTTTCGATTGTTTCAGATGGAATATACAAAGACAGCTTTACTACCATGCTTAGAAGAAAATCATCGGCAGAGGAGAAACCTGACGAACGACGAAAAGATTCGATTAGTGATCTTTTTTGCCGAAGTTTACTTGAAAGTCACTTTGGTTTGTTTTTTTTTAGGAATTTTCGTTTATTCTTCATTTTATCTTTTTAAGGAAAATGGTAGTCGCATTGAGAAATTTGCCAGTGCGGTGTGCGATCAGTTAGATGACATTGTTCGGCTACCACCGTGTGATGAATTCATGAAAGGTTTGATGAGAGTGCTTAAAGTAGCCGGAGCCGAACTCGATGAAAATCATCGGGAACGGATCGATGAATTGCTGACCAAAATGGGCGGCTTCGCGAACGGAAGTCAAAAGATTAGCCAGTGAGTTTTTAATTTATAATCCAATATGCTTTGACAAAATTATGCATTTTCAGAGTGGTTAAAGCCCAAATTGAGTCTTTAATCAAATGCCGCGAACGAGGATGGGATCGAATCCCGCAGCCGAGAATTCCGTTTCCTTCGTATAATGCGTTGAATGAGGATGATTTGGACGAATATGGGCTCGAATTGACTGAAGATGAGAATAAGTTCATTGAGAGTCAAATCGACGCGCTTACCACCACAAATGAAGGTAAAATTAGGTTTAATCAAACAGATGTGTTTATTTATTCCAATTTTTCAGGAGATGATGATAACGAGCAGATCGATGAGAATGATGTAATGAAAGAGTTTGGAAAATTTGTTGATGAGGAACTTAATAGATCGGTGAGTATGACGATTTTTTTGTTTGCAAATTTTTCGTCGATCCAAGATAGTAAGATTTTATAATTGTATTTATAATTGTAAACTTTTAGACTGAAGCAGAGAACGTTGAAATTTTTGCCAAGTTGCAAATTTCTGACGCCGCTGAATCTGAAGCAAAAAAAGAAATTCCGTCTGCTGATGTCTCTGAGACGAACGAGAAATCTCAATGTTCGGAAAACCAATGAGAATGCCGATTCAGTGAGGTTTTTTAAAAATAATATTTTGTTCTCAACTGATCTAAGTCTCGTAATCTCATTAAATCTGAAATGTTTTTGTTCTGTGATTGCCGGTTTTTTTCCGCTTTTACGTCGCCCACCCGTTTTCCCAAAACTCCCTGCGAAATCATTTGTTAGTTTTTTTTGTATTGTTTTCATATTTTTCTCATTTCTGGTTGTTCTTTTTGTTCTTTTGTACTTGGGACCTAATTTTTTTCCAAATTTTTGTTTTATAAACATCCAACAAAAATGGGCCGTGTAGTCCGCTGTTTTCTAGCGCAATGTCTACTAGAAACATTTCATTGTGAATCTTCCACATTCCCTATCGACACCCTATCCCTATCCCTAAATCCGTTTCGAAAATTGAGAAGTGTTCTATGTAGCATAATTGGTCGCGCATCGGTCGCTTCGTATTTTTCCCACTTAATTTAAATCACTTCTGTGTTTTTTTAGCAGCCATGATTATCTCGTTTTCCTTTTTTAAAAATAAAATTATGCCAAACCATTGTGTTCATTTCGTAAGTCAATTCAGCAAAAATTTAATGTCATCGAAGAAAATTAAATGATTGATCGATTTTAAAAAACTACGCGTTTCAGATAGAATTACGTTTCAAATTTTCTAAATTATGGATCGACACGCGACGACACTCCTAGTTTACGCAGGGTATCACTTTTAGCGTAATAAATATTTTATGATGATTAAAAAATTAAATGCACTTCTTCATTAACATGCCGAATTCCACCAAAAACGTTTCTTGAGCTATTACGACGCTCTTGCCGAAATTGAGAATCGTGTTCTCTAAAAAATTACTGTTGAGAATTTCGGATCGGGGACCGACGGGGCTGATCGTTAAAATAATCAGTCAGGCCCGACTACTCCCGTTGCAAATATGGTTAGTCTAACCTTTATAGTTTTATAGTTCATATTTTCATTTAGAAATTCAAGTAGATTAATTTACATCGAAACGACAAAAAACTCTTAGTCAATATTATCAAATGAAACGTCCCAGACTCGATTCTTTTGTTGAATTGTTGCTATCAGTGCGGGCTGAAAACCACATTATTTCATACAATCAACAAATCCAACAATAACGGAAACAAAATAATATCGTCTTCGAAGACGAACGAATTTGAAGGATCGAGTTCAATTATAGTCGGCGTCCGGCGACTGCTGTACGCGGGTCGATTTACGGAAATGCGTCTTTCCAAATGGTCTCGCAAGGACTAACAGGTTACTTCAAATTTGATGGACCGGTTCGATAATTTTTTATTCGAATATCGTTGGAAATTCAAGGAAATGCGAAACTCATCAAGAAAAATGAAGCAGTTCACGTGAAAACAGCAAAATAAGCGTTCACGCGTGGCGAGACTTTTTCAAGGCGCATGCGCGTAAATCTACCCGCGTACAGCAATCGCCCGACGCCGACTATATTACCATTCGAAAATCCTATATAAAAAATTCGCAGTCGAACACGACAAAATTCGGCTCTAATGCGGCTACATTCTGAGCCGAAATATGTCGTAATCGATTTGAAACGAATGAACCAGAGATTTCTTGACTCGAGGTGTTCTGGAAATTCGTTTCGAATCGAATGCGGCAATTTTTGATTTCAATTTTTTCCGGTTTATGTTCCAAATTAGTCGTACTCGTTATTTAGAGTACGATTCGCGAATTGGAATTATAAGAACCATCGCCCCTCCACTCTTTTTAAATTGGTCCGTCTTCGAAACCATTACCGATTCTGGCGCAAAGAACACTGGTTGGATACAAAGTTTGGCGTCAACCTTTAGAACACATCCAGCGTTTCTTCAAAAAACACAAAATTAAACTAAGAGGGAATTATTGTGGAAGACACTGAATCACGAAAATCCGAATCGATGGGATTGAGGAACATTTCTGAATGAGTGGGTGATTAAACATTTTAAATTGAATTTCTTCTATCAAAATCGAATTAAATAGAATAATTTTTAATTTCTAGAATAAGCCAAATTCATTTCGGAATTATTGATATTTTTCTTGAATTGGTTGATTCAAGATTCTTTAAAATTGCCCATAGCTCGTTGGTTTTTCGTCATTCACGAGAATTGACATACCTGTATAGATTACAATAAAGCGGTGCTGAAAATATCGTGATGAGTTTGCGGTTCGTTATCGTCCAATATCCATCAAAACACATCTGATGAGCACGAATGATCAATTCGATTCCCAATCGGGTGCAAACATCATCAATCACCTAAAAAATGGAAAATTCGTCATATTTGGAACGAATCGGTGGAATCACATTGGTTCCGAAGGTGAATCCTGACCCGCGAGTGCTCGTGCGCCATTCATAAACCGCCAAATCGGGATCAGACCAAAGCATGTCGTTCACGATTCCGCGAAATGGATTCCGAATTGGTTTCGGATGCTCGCGGAGCTCCTGCAGACATTCGTTTCGGCTCTCAAAATAAAAATCAATTCATACATCTAATGTGACGAGCGATGGCGACAAACCGCCATGCATACACAGAATTTTGGTGGCGATTAGGGCTGAAATCGGCAAATTGTTGAAGCAACGCTGAAATTCAGCCCAAATCTCTTCGCCGTATTTGGGAATACACGAAATGCATTCCTCGTAGAACCCATATTTCTTATTGACTCTGGCAATCTCGTGGTTTCCGCGAAGCAAAAAAATATTTTCAGGATACGAAATCTAAACAAATAATGCATAAATAATGGTGGCTGACAAACTCGAAATCAATCGCATCCGACAAAATTCGACTTTATGAATCAAGCCGATTCGAGTTTTTGGAGATTTTTTTTTCAATTTTTCAATTCAGATCGGATCGGGTTGATTCAGGTGCCGGATTTCATTGGATCCGACTGATTTTGAAAAAAAAAAAAGGGGAAACTTTGTAAGCGAATAAAAGCATTATGCATTCAATACTCATCATTCCGCGGTCGACGTAATCCCCTAAACTCCAACAGGCGTACGAGGGTAATTTTCTGGGGAAAAAGCAATGAAACCTGTGAACACGTAAACAGTATCTGGCGGTCTTCCAAGCAGTAGGAACATATTGATAAGATCATTGAATTGCCCATGCAAATCGCCTACAATAAGAAATTGAAGAGAGGTGTGAAATTCGTCGAATTATACCAACAACAACGCAGGGTGGATCAACATCAATCAGAGTGTTCTCTGAAGCGAAGATTGCGGACGCTTCTTGAATCACTGTCTGGTATTCGGATTTTCGATATTTTATTTTATGAATCTAAAATCGTCTTTCGAGATGCTTTCTTGTTGACCATTTACCCCCGGCCTCATATCCTCGTAGTGTTTGTCAAGAAACTCCTTATAATCAATGTTATCCTCTGTCCGATTCGGTGCGGTTCGTTCGATCGCCGACATCGCCCTCGTCAGCTTTTTCGCATCCGGCACACTCTTCGCCAATCGATTGAGTCTGCGTAGTGCGAATATCGGGAAGGTTGCCAAACGAACACGATTGCCCCAAAAACCAGCCGCCTTACCTAATTTGGCTCTCTAAAATATGTTTCGGTATCACCGGTTTACGGTAACCGGGCCCGTTTTCCGCCGACGTATCGGAGCCAGTTGTTGTCGTGCTTGCATGATATCTTCATGTTTTAGAGCGCATTTTTCAAAAGATTAATGGAAATTCGAAATCAAATTGCAAAACCTTGACTGAAGATCCATAATCGGCGTCATCACCATACTGCCATTGTCCGTGAGCGGTTGAGTCATCAGAGACGGATATTGCGAAACAGGCATTTGCGTTGAAACTCCAGGTGTTCGCGCCATCGATGTTCTGCAACACAATTCTAGAACATGTCGTCGTTTTTCAGAAATCGCAAACTCATTCAACGGTCTTTCATCTTTTTCCTTCAGAATATTTGATTTCCGTTTATTGTTATTTGTAGTCGTTTTCCTTTTTTGCAACTTCTTACTAAAAGTTCGACCCGATGGATTCTTCTCAGACGATCGCTTCTCACAATGAAAAAAAAATGATCGTTTGAGTCAGAAAAAACCAAAACTTAGTTCTTACTTCTGATGAAATTGCAACCATTTTCGTAAATTTTCAATGTTTTAATTTAATGCGAATTTAATAACAAGAAAATAGAAATAATGAGGATTCTGAAAATCAAGTTTTGACGTGAAACCCTTTTCATTAATACATACCATTTGGCCCACTACGGTTATTCGTTTAATGTTAAAGTCGATTCCTTCGGTGGATCCGCTTTGCAGACGATGATGTCGGTATGAAATTGTGCACGACGTCAGAGAATTGCAAAAACCCGGAATATTTCTGTTACTATCCATTCCTTAATGGTTTTCAACGGATTGTCGAAAGAACATATACACAGCGGCTTGGTTTTTGCGCCAAGAAAGCAGATTTGTGTAAAGTCACGGAGCAAAATACGTTAGATGGTGATTCATCGAACCAAGGAATAACTGCTAAATTCGATCCCGTCGGACAACTCTCGACACGTAAAAAATTCTGCAATAGAGATGAAGACTGTATAGAAGGTGGAAAGTATCAAGGACGCGATGGTTTAAACAAAGTGTTAGAAATTAAATTCGAACAATCTAAAACTCTATTAAATTCAGTGGAAAATGCACAAAAATGAATGAAGCTCTTGGAATACAGGAAGTGCGACTATGCTGTTACCGTATGAAGTTATAGACAAAAACATGAATAAATCTCTCCATTTTTAAGGAGATACAACTGGAATGTGCGAACATGGAAATGCTGCTACTCCATTAAGAAAATGTTCAACTTTTGATGATTGTAATAAGGGATTTGATGAACTAAAGACTTCGTGGTGCGACGAAAAAAGTGGAGTTTGTTGCGACGGTGAGTCGTCTAATTGCAATTGATAAACAATTAATACTTTCAGGAAGATTCGATAAATTACTGTGGCACTGCCCTGATCACCAAACTGCGAAATTCAATGAGCCGAGGTGTGAAAATGTCGTCGCGAATGATCCGAATTCGGGAATTTGCAAGGCACAGCCGGCCGGAATTTGCTCTTATGGCAGATGTTGTCCGCCGTTGGTTATCATGCCGTCGTTGAAATTGGGCGAGAAACCATATATCACTGCACGGAAATGTGATCCAGCTGAGCCTCCACCGGATTATTCTAACTTTATGTTTTGCGATCCGGCCTCCGGCAATCTCATTAATCTTCGCAAAGGTGTTTGTGCAAAAAAACGCGAGTGCAAACCTTCGCAAGGCGGAATTGTTGGTCCTTTCGTACAGCTGACTGCTGGCTACACATTCTGCGACACCGATGCTGATTGTGTAAGCGACGGACGCGATCCGAATTTGGCGAAACATAATGCAGTGTATGTTCAGTCTTATTAGACATATGAACACCAAAACGAACATTTTTTATGGCGGAAAATGCACAAAACTCAATGAGCCTAAGGTAGATGGTAATGTATGCTGCTTCGGTAAGCATTGGGTATATGCATTGGGTTACGTAAAAAATTAAACAAATCAAACTTTCATGGACCTATTTATGCAATGAAAAAAAATAACTCAATTTTTTCATTTGAATTCCCCATGCACCATACTTGTAAATTTCCGGATCGACCCGCCTACCCGCAACGACACTCCGTAGAACGGTTTACGACACCATCAAACGTTTCAAAGAAGATCAACGCCGTCAAATCGAGGATCAGACGAAACCCCCACATGAGCATGAGAATGATGGCGTCAGACATGGGAATGAGCATCTTCGCTATGAAACAAATCGTCAAAACGAAGCTTGGACTGACCCCATATCGTGTCCAAAAAGCGGCAATTCTATCGGCCGTCAACAAGCAGAGACGCTTCGAAAAAGCAAAACGACTTCTTGCTCGCACGCGGTCTGGAGAACATCTCGTCACTGTCTTCTCCGACGGGAAGCTGTTCAGTGTGGAGGCGGCATTCAACTCACAAAACCATCGAGTACTTGCCCAGACATCCCAGCAAGCTTCTGAGAAAAGCAGAACAATTCATCGAGCTTCACATCTTGCCAGTGTGATGGCTTTCGGTGCCATCTGCTCAACCGGGAAGTGCCCCCCTGGTTTTCGCAGATCAGGGGTGAAAGTGAACAAGAAGTCTACGTTCGGGACATTTTAGAGAAGCATGTGATGCCCTGGGCCCAAACGCATTTCGTTGGGCAGAAATGGGTCTTTCAACAGGACGGAGCACCCACCCACACTGCCAAAACTACTCAGGAGTGGTGCCAGACCCATTTTCCCGACATTATCAAGTCATCCGAATGGCCTGATTGCTCCCCAGATCTGAACCCGCTTGACTTTTCCGTGATGGGGTCTTGCAGGGGAAGGTCAACGCAAAACCCCATTCAAGTGTAGAGGCTCTGAAGAAGACATTACTGGCGGAATGGGACAATCTTTCCATCGAATACCTGCGTAGCACAGTCGAATCCTACCCGAAGCGTCTCCGTGAAGTCATAGCTGCGAAAATAGGCCGAATCAAAAAGAGTTAATAGATAAATATTTGTTATACTATAGATAAAAAATATTTCGAGTCTCGTTTGATTTGGACTTTTAGTTTCAGAAATATACGTCTTCAATGTTGTGCGGGAACTTAAATGACACCCTGTATGCCCTCGATCAGTGTATGCCCTTCGTCACACTCTTCCAAAGTCGATATGAAATTCTCATAGATAATCAAAGATTTCTCGAGAAATCCTCAACGATTTTCGATCATTTTTTGTCACTACTGTTCGAAATTTTTGAACTCTTTCGATGAAAATCTCTCGAGAATTTCTTCGAAGACATACACTGATCACAATTATTTAGATTGGAAGGTTGAAACATGCTGCTGCTAACATTCAGATTTGCTTTATAAACGACAATATATGTAACTATTTATTCATTTAATCAATTGATTACCATATCATCGAATATTTATTTTTTGGCTCTAATCCATGTCCTACAGATATTGCTGTTACATCTTTCGATTCTGATGTAGGCGGTGATGTTTTCTCTCGCGATCTTAGCGCTGATGCTTTGGATTGAGGTTTTGACTGACACTTTGGTGTTGGTGGTTTTAATTCAGATTTTGAAGCTCCCGCCGTCTTCTTGTCGCAAACATTACGAGATCGATAACACATATAAGAGACAACGGAAAGAATAGAAAACACAATGGCTAGCACAATTGAGGATATTAGAATAATCTTCACCGAGTGATTGACAGCAACTCGAGAATTGATCAGAGGATTGTAGTAGCATTTTGATTCAGATGTTGTACGTACACACACTTCCTTTTGGTTTGGGCAATCTCTAAAAGAAACAACGACAGAATAAACCTGGCGAGTATGAAAACATTACTTATTAATGCTGCATTTGTGGCCAGTTACGATTACCGACCTCGATGACGCCAATTGTTTTTCTCCGATGACCGTGAGATTGCCGGAGGCCGGATCGCAAAACATAAAGTTAGAATAATCCGGTGGAGGCTCAGCTGGATCACATTTCCGTGCAGTGATATATGGTTTCTCGCCCAATTTCAACGACGGCATGATAACCAACGGCGGACAACATCTGCCATAAGAGCAAATTCCGGCCGGCTGTGCCTTGCAAATTCCCGAATTCGGATCATTCGCGACGACATTTTCACACCTCGGCTCATTGAATTTCGCAGTTTGGTGATCAGGGCAGTGCCACAGTAATTTATCGAATCTTCCTGAAAGTATTAATTGTTTATCAATTGCAATTAGACGACTCACCGTCGCAACAAACTCCACTTTTTTCGTCGCACCACGAAGTCTTTAGTTCATCAAATCCCTTATTACAATCATCAAAAGTTGAACATTTTCTTAATGGAGTAGCAGCATTTCCATGTTCGCACATTCCAGTTGTATCTTCTTAAAAATGGAGAGATTTATTCAAGTTTTTGTCTATAACTTCATACGGTAACAGCATAGTCGCACTTCCTGTATTCCAAGAGCTTCATTCATTTTTGTGCATTTTCCACTGAATTTAATAGAGTTTTAGATTGTTCGAATTTAATTTCTAACACTTTGTTTAAACCATCGCGTCCTTGATACTTTCCACCTTCTATACAGTCATCATCTCTATTGCAGAACTTTTTATGTGTCGAGAGTTGTCCGACGGGATCGAATTTAGCAGTTATTCCTTGGTTCGATGAATCACCATCTAACGTATTTTGCTCCGTGACTTTACACAAATCTGCTTTCTTGGCGCAAAAACCACGCTGAAATATATATTTGCCTTTGACAATCCGTTGAAATCCATTCAAGAATGGTGTGTAGCAGAAATATTCGGGGTTTTTGCAATCCTCTGACGTCGTGCAAAATTTCAGACCGACATCATCGTCTAAGATCACTTGGACGTGAGAAAGTTCTTCAGGAACTGAAAACGTGAATATTGGAATAACTGAGTTTATACTCGACTTACTTTTATAGCAGAATCTTCTAGATTTATGATTATTGCTTCGGTCAACATTTTCAACCGAATACGGCATGGTATCGATGAAAGATGGGTTGACTGCGTCGTCACAGAACTCATTTTTATCGCACTCCGAATTCTTATCACATGATTTTGGAGTGCCGACGGAGTCGAATGGCGACGTGAGGAAAGAGCGACAGCTGCATTGCAAAAGCTCTCAGAATCTCTCGATCAGCAATTTGTAAAACCGTAAAACGATACAAGGAGCTTAACACACATGAAAACCGTCCGAGAAGCGAAAGACCTCGCAGTTCTATCACTTCGGGGAGGATCAAGGTCGCCAGAAAACGAACTCGTCGAATCCGCACCGGAGCATG